TTCACATTGTAATTATCAGTTTATAAGAAATTATTCAGAGGAATGTTGGACCATGGTGTTCTCAATGCAAAAATTATAAGCCTCAGAGAACTCATCATTGCTCGGTTTGTGCTCGTTGCGTTTTACATATGGACCATCATTGTGTTTGGATAAACCAGTGCGTTGGGCTTTACAACCATCGACACTTCTTCCAATTTGTAGTTTTTGTTTGGCTTGGGATGGTATTGATTTTGTACAGCAATTACAACTGCTTTTGGGAGCATTTGAACTATCTCGATGTAAGTTTCTTCCCTAACGCCATTTTTTGAAGGAAACATTGCTTTCTCGAAACTAATATTGTTGTTGATGCTGTAGTTTGTGGAATAAGTTGCCATTCAACCATGTTTAGAATCCTGAGATTATGCCATTCTGTGTCGAGGATATAGAGCTGGCTCCATGGAAGGGTTGGGTCTGTTCTAATATGGGAAAAATTGTAAGTGGTTGTCTATTTTTCAATTATGGTCTGGCTATTTTATTGTTTTTTGTACTCGGTGGTTTTACGCTATGGATAGCCTACTTGGTATCAATTGGTGAAACACTAGTTGAGCTACTGGTTTGTTTTTCCTTAAATTTTTTAATTTGAATCTTTCAACAGCTTTCTCACTGTTTGGATTTTTCGTTTCATTTTAAGCTTTAGGTAAGTGGTATTTAGTCTTATACAGTCTGTTCTATTTTATATTTTAGCACCACACTAACACACTTCCATGTATATCACGCACTCGTTCACCGTATGATCTCGGTTTTGTAGCCAACTGGAAACGTTTTCTTGGAATTAATAGGAACCACACGTTTATTCGCCATATATTGTTGCCCTCTTCTCATTTTGAACCTTTTTCAAGAAATGAGTCTCTGGAACATTTGATTTAATGTTGTGGTAATTGCTAGTTGTACTAGCATAATGCTTAATTATGGTTTGTCTTAAAAAATTTTGTATGAAGTCATAGGATAAGATTGGTTTGAATTTAAAAAAAATTTTTTATTATTCAGTATCACGGCATCTTCTTGGATAATCTTACTTGCAAATCGAGAGATGTGCGTCACTAAATTTCTATATATTTTGGACGTTTTGCAAACAGTAGCAATAGGAAGAATGAGAATTTACATGTGGTTATAAATCACATATTTGATGACTTGTGAATTAGGAACACAGTGCAGGTTTATTGAAATGTTTTGGATTTCAAGGATAGCTTGATAATTCTTTTCTTTTGATCTTGTTGTCTTGCTGAGTTTTCTCGTGGGGAGTTGATTAAAAGCTTGCAGTACAAACTTTCCTGCTTCGAACGATAGCAGTGACGGGTAACAATTATATTTCAAAATCGAATTTTGTTTTTCTGATGAAACTAATTATGTCGTTTTTGTAGAGTATTGTTAGTAGCTTTTCTTCTCTTATAAAGGCCACATTCTTACCAGCATGATTTTGAGGTTTTACTTGTATTTCCTCTTGTCATTCACAACAGATTAGTGGAGTATTTACTCAGCTTATTTATCTTTTTTTGTTGTTTTGCTTTCTTTTTTTCTCCTTAATGTTTGTTGTCTTGTCATAGTATAAAAATTTTAAAACTTTTGTCGGGTTTTGGAATTTTGGCCAGCTTTTTTTATATCATATTTTATGTCAGTTCCCTGTCTTTCCAGTGTTCTTTGCTGTCTGATCGCCGTTTGCGTAAGAAATGCCAAATTCTCTGTTGTCTTATACATATTACCTTCCTTTTCATTTAAAAATGTTTTTTGTACTCAAATATAGAAGGAAGATAATTGGCAAGATGAAAATTAAGACTTTTCTAGCATTGTTTTACGTTATGCAGATTTTCTTCTTGTCGTTTTTATTATATGGAGATTTCAAAAGTTTTTGTTATTTATGATGTATATTCTAATTATGCATACTGTAGCATTTAATTAACTTTTTTACTGCCAAACATTATGTCATTTTTCAACATGTTTTGCATTTAGGATGCCTTTCTGTTAACGAAAAGAACAGACAAAACAAATGTCTGTTCAGGTGAGCATAGCGTTGAAGAGTTATTGTCATATTCTACGCTAGTATAATATGTGATAAGTTTCCCAAATGAGAATTGGGAACGGGTCTTTTCACGTATAATTAATTTTTTCAACTTATCAAGAGTTGCTACAGGTTATTTATGGAGACAATTGTTTAGCTCATAAGCGTAATTCTCATTTTTAGGCTGCTTTTTTGCATTTTGTTTACCCTTGTCGATACTATGCTGTTGATGTAATGGTTATCTCTTTATTAATTATTTCTTTGTTTGAAAGACGTTTATAGTCAAAGTAAAAAGAGGGTGAGGGGATCGGAGATTTAGAGTATATGGAATGTTCAGCGGGATCCTGAGGGGGCACTTTTGTTCCAAAAGTCGTCTAAACTTATTGCTGACACGTTGTCAAGAAGCGTTACGTGTGGTCTTTCAAATAAATCGTCCCTGCGGTTTTTCAGAAATGCTTCATTTCGTATTGAACCGTTTACTGGTTCCTGTATGCAAATAATTTTTGATTAAAACAGAAATATAGCATTTTTGTAAAACGTACTATCTGTTACTTACAATATTTTCATTTACAAAGTCGTGTGGAAAGCGATCTCGACTCGGAACTACAGTTAGAACTGTTGGGCACATTTGTTCGAGTGGTCTTCTCGGCAGTGGTGCATCCAAACGTTGCGGATTTTGTGCTGCATTGGCGGTTCCTGGTGTATCAAAATTTCTATCCAAGTCACGTTCAAAAGTTTCCACAAATCTGAATAGGGGAAAGTGATTGTCAGACATCGCAGAATATAATGTCAAAAAGTTTGGAGATTAAGCCGTTCAAAATAGTACCTATTGACATGTTCAGCAGCTCGTCGTCGATCTGTTGGTGAAAGACCTTCGTTCATCGGATAGTTCTCGATTGGCTGGCTTGATCTGTGGCTAATTTGCTGCACATAACGCACATTGGTGTGTTCATTGCCCGTTGCTGCAGACAACTGTGTACTTGTATGTGTAAGTCGGTTATTATCATCAGCACTACCGACTCTCTGTTTGCTACGTTTTTGCTGACATTTGTAGCAGAAATAAAGTATTGCCAGAATTGCAGCTATAAGTAGCAAGATGATCAGAATCCATAAGGCCCAGTTAAAACGAACTGTATGTTCTTCAGCTAAACCTTTTCGAATAGCATTTAAATCTGGCGCGTATGGAATTGTTTGACCATCTAAAAAATTGGTCACTATCAGAGACAAAACTGTATAATACTAGAAATGCGCTATAATTTAACTTGAAATCTTTTAGAGTGTGACTTAAGCGCTATGCATTAGCATAATTTTAAAAGCGTGACTCGGTGATGACTCAAGTTTCTTTCTTTGGTTCAAACCAAGTTTTAGGAAATAAAAATTTTTTTAAATGAAAATATATTTACCTCTGCTCATTTTGCAAACGAAAGGAAATCTACTCATACAGTTTGTCACCTCATATGCTATTCCTTCATACGAATGTGCGTTGATACAGACACAGTCTTCAAAATCGTGATTTTTGAAAAATGTTGGAAACCTGTAACAGAGAAATGAAAAATAATATAAAATTAGTTAATTGTTTAGGATTTTTTAGGGTTGACTAGTGTTATTGTTTGGGGGGCTTTTGAAGAAGTAAATTAATGCTTTTTGTCTTAACGGGTAATTGGAGGAGTTTTGTGGAAGCTTTATGAATATTTTCAAAAAACTGACTGTTTTTTTTACTGTTATCAGAAATTGAAAAAAATTTCATTTATAGTAACCGAAGATGCTCTGAACTATTTGGCATCACATGGAAATTAAGCAGAAAAAGCCACAAAACAAAGGAAAAATAATAGCTTTTGGCGCTGTTCTCTTCATACAGTTAATGTTGCTGTAAATTTTTCTTCTTTTTTTCTGTCAAAAGCTTCAGTGTTCATTATTCATCAACAAATTACGATGATGATGACACAGCGCAATGTGGATGTGTTTGTGAGGATCGTCAGAAATGATCAACAATACGGAAGACAAACTGATCGGGCCAAATTTTTTCATTCGGATCGATGGATTTGAACGTTCCTTCTACCGCTGCATCTGTGTAGCCTAACCAAAACATAGCCTCATCTTCAGTGAATGTGTCTAAACAGTATGGTTTCTTATTTTGCTTCTTTTCTTTTGTAAATTGAGTATTGTAACCGTAAATTAATTGCACAAATTTGATCTTTTAAATTTTCTGCTTTTAAACATAAATTTTTTTAGACAGTATGCAGAGTATCAAATAGTGATTGAAGGAGGAAATTTGTTATTCCATTATATATTGCTCATATATGTATATGCAAATATTTTTGGAAAGTAATAATTCAGTCAGTCATTCATATAGAAATGATATATTATGTGAAGTTCTGCACAATATTTTAAATTACTTCGGTGTACTAATTTATTTATCTATGGTAAACTGAAGACAAGAAAAAGGCTTTGAAGAAGCAATGGTTCGATGAGGCAAAATGAAATATAGGATAAAATAGCTATTTTTGAATTTAAATTTTGTTGTTTTTTCTAAAATTTTCTTTAATTTAAGATTGCCTGATATGTTAAATCACTAGATGACTAATGATATTGAATGAAGAAGAAAAAAGGAAGCAGAAATATGGTCTATTTTTTTTCTATTTATCGACTAACATTACTAATTCAGGAAACAAATGTTTTTGGTAGGATTTATAAAATTTTTTTATTTTTTTTGAAACCATAAATCATAGCTTCCGTTTTCTTTCACTACTCCTTTTTCTCCCCTATCTAACTACGATAATGATCATCAGGACATGAAGCCGTTTCAACAACTGGTACCACAATGTTGGTTTGTTCGTCAAAAATCTGAATGAGGAAAGGACAGAGGAGGCGGGTATAGTGGTGGTGGGGGGGCTGTTAAAGGAAGACAGATGTCAAGCTGCAGTTTTAAATTTAATGCTTTAACCTAGCTAGCAAGAACTTTACAGGTTTGATAGCTTTCTGCATTTACACACTAAATGCATGAAAAGTGGTTTACGGTTTGTTGAAAAAAAAAAAAAAGAAAGGAATTAGAGGTAGAAGAGGAAAATAGAATGGACAAGAAAATAAACTTAGTGCTATAAATTGTATCAAATTTTTGATTACGGACACAACGATTATTGATAATCACACGTATATCGCTCACCGATAATAAAAGAGTACTCCTCCTGAGATGATAGCGTCAGCAAATTGCTTCTTTGGTTTAAGCATTCATTTTGAGCCTCAGCCCAGGTCAGACCGCCTCCTGAATAAATTAAGGTATAGCAGGTACCCAGTGCTGTATTTGAAACCCATCCTGGTGGACAACCGGGGATTTCTGCAAATTCACATTACCCTAAAGAAAAAAAAGCAAACATATTTACTGCATATACTCAATTTAAAAATAATTTAGAAATATTTTAACAGAACTACTAAATTTTTGTACGTTGGCACAGTTCTATAGTTCTTAACATTAATTCTTTTTTTTTTTTCGAATCTGTTTAGTAATAATCGTGATATTAGCAACTGACCATAATCAGTGAAAGACATTTTAACACCATGACGTTGAAAGCGTGCATCTGAATGAAAATGTACAAACAGCGAATCGGATGGGCTAATGATGGCATATGGCTTTTCATCACCACACCATTGCTTTAACTTTGTCGATGTATTCGTTTTACCTGAACAAATTTTTTTCCTGTTATAAGAAGAAAAAAAAAACAAAGAGAAAAAGCGTTTTTTCATTTCCGAATTTTTACTTATGATATCTTACCACTGAAAAATTTTCTTTTTTCAATTTTTAGCAAACTAAAAGAGGCAATGAACTATTTAAAATTTATTTAACTGTTATTTTGAACGAACATCTCAACTGTGAATAAACACAATAAAAATAGCTACTTAGCTACTTTTTGATTTTTTTTATTTTTACTTTGTCAACAATAGTAAACTATTATTATTATTTTTTTAGAAATCAGTTTTATCATAAAGAACTTTTGTCAAAATTATTGGTTTTTTTTATCTTCTTGAGGAGTTTTTTTGATAATATAAAGAAAATTTACCACTGTAAATGGCACAGAAATCATCGCACGTATAAAATAATGCATCGTCAAGTTGAGAATCATCAACCCTCAAATAGATTCGTCGATCAACGCTACGGGCTGTTAGCAACCAGAAGCAGTCTGCGTTATTTGGATAGCTACCGACGAAATAGTCGGGTGTTGTAAAGGACTGTAGACTGTCTTTTGCAGTCAGTGAAACGGGTACGGCTAAAAACAAGAATGGGTTACCGTTGCCAAAAATCACACCGATACTGTCACCACTGTAAATCTATTAGAACCGATAACTTAGTTTCTCCTTTTTTTTTTTCATTGTAAACCAATCGTTTCGCAGTTTTACGATCCAAAAAAAGAAAAAAAAAAGAACTGTTTTGTTTAAAAGCTATTAAATTTAGCTGTAGTTTGTGATGAATTCTGAACAGTGAACAACACGAATGTTTAAATGAATCAGCTCTTATCAGATAACCACTAAAGTTGACACCGACATACTGTATTTAAGAAAAGAAGCTTTAAAGGTTCAAAAAGAAAAGACAAATTCCGGTTAACTTACTTTGGCATTGTTGCGCCAATATTGCTGTGGCTTTCAGTAGACAAATATACAGACCAATTAGAAGCAACAAAAACATATTGCATTTTGGATGCATAAAACAATTATATTATCAACAAAAAATTTTCAGAAAATTCAAATTATTCTGAAGATTATCTTATTGCCGTTTGCTTGTTTTTTTTTTTTTTTTTTTTTTTTTTTTTTTT